ATTCGAAACTCCACTTATCTATCAGGGGGCAATCCAGGAAGATCTTTGGGAAAGACTTCCGGATAGTCGCACACCACTGGTATTCTTTGTATCTCTTTCTTCTCCTTCTTTGCAACGATTACAAATGCCAAGTATAATATGCATCCTTTAGACAAACATTTTCTGCCTTTCATCAGGGAAATGATTCTAGAATTCACTCTACGTTTATCCCCGTACACCATAAATGAATCTTTTCCAGGCGGGTTTACTCTTACTATCTTCTTTTTGCACTGTATCTCGGCATCATTGGCGCTAAGCCAATCTATTCCCAGTACTATGTCGAAACCATTCAACTCAATGGGTAACAACTCCTCGTGTAATTCGTTTCCATTCAAGTCGCTGACGATGTTTTTAATGCAATCGCTAACAGGTATGAATTTTCCACTGGCAACTTCTACAACTAGAGCATTATCAAGTTTATCTATAGGAAATGCTATTCTTCCACCAAATTTGTGCAATACAAAGAAGTAATTTTGTCACACCCCCAAACCGAAATGGCGGAAACATTCGGGGGTGGAGGACGTCATGTATAGTATTACAACAATTGCATCATAGTAATCAAAGTAAACACAACCATTACATTGATTAAGTAAAATATTTACATCTGTTTGATTCAAATTTCTATACATCAAAAGTATAACAAAAGTAAAAGACGTGACTCTATACGCTCTGTCTTCTCAAAATCTATGTGAGGTACCTGTTTACTGATTTCCTGAGAATACAAGCAGTTTTGAAAGAGTATCAGCATAAAGCTGGTGAGTTCATAAGCATGTTTTTGTAAGGAAAATCCGTTAATGAATCTCATAATGTATTAGTTCATATGTCTAGTCACCATTGAATGTGTTGTGTATTGTTGTTTTGAATGGGAAATCCCATTTTACATGAAAAACCATGGCTATCACCAGTATGTATAGTAAGTTCGGAAAGCTTTGAAAACTCTAATATGTATAGTAGTTCTATTACTTTATAATAAAACTAATTGAAGTTATTACCATTCATACATTAATCGTATATTCTTAGTACCAAATTTATGAGTTGTTATAACCATACTTGACCATTGAATTGCCTGAACGACATTCTTCAGGTGTCGGAATCGATAGGACTTTATCACCCAGGCCTATCGGCCTAACTGTAGCTAACAGTTATGGTGCAGGATTGTCAATCACGTATAGATCTATACACAAACTTACGTTCTCCCGCAAAGAGACTCTGGTTATAATCTCAGGACTGTTGTTAATACTTAAGTAAGTACGCGAATAATGCTCACTCATAAAATGCTATACTAACGATTACGTGTAGAATAAAATGAATCCTTTGAATTTAATAGCTGATTATATGTCTAATAAACTATACTCTATATAGCTTATATATTTGATCACATTGCATCTATGTTTGTACATTGATAAGATAATTGTTCCATAAACTAAACCTATTATAGTTTATATGTTCATTAATGTATTCCATTCATGTTTTACACTGAAAACTGTATGATTATGTTGAAAACTTACCTTATGCTCAGCATAATACAAAAGGGATAAAATACCTAAATATTTTATAAAAGTATGGATACTTGTAAGGCTGTATCAATTTTAAGTGTATTAAAATCCGTTTTTTTTTTGTATAATTTCACAAGATCAATGATATTTGGCTTGTATTTCCAATCCCCCTAAAAACGTTAAAATAGTAAATAGGGGTATGAACTCACCTGATTGTGGGTGACTTGGATGAATAACAAAGACATGATGCTTGGTATGCTAAGTGAAGTCCCGAGCACAGTATGTTCCTATTAAGCACATATTAACATGTATAGGCCTACAATTAGTGTCTAAAACCACTAATAAGCATAGGAAACACCCTTAGGATGTAGGAAACACTTACAATGAAGTGTTAGAGCTAAGAATGAAGGACAAGAAGGAGTTCATGGCCACACCACCATGGGTTCACGGCCCAAGATGTGTTCACGGCCCATGAACACATGAAGGGTTTACTGCCCAAGATGTGTTCACGGCCCATGAACACATGAATAATTTAAGGGTTTATAGCCCATTTATGAAGGGTTCACGGCCGTGAAAACTTGAAGATCATAAAGATGGTGATGAAAGTGATGAATCAATGGATGAATATGAAGCATTCGACATGGAGAAGATGAATAACAAGTGAAAAGGGATGAATTAGTTACGTTTGAGGGGTGAGAATGAGCTTTTGTTGGATGAGTCTTGAGAGAGTCTTGAGGAGTTTTCGGCCAAGGAGGTAAGAAATGAGGAAAAATGAAGGAAAACATATATATATATATATATATATATATATATATATATATATATATATATATATATATATCGGGAGGGGTTCACGAACCAACATGGGTTCACGGCCATGAACCTAGTTTGCGGCCGTGAACACCCTTTGAAGGGTTTTGTGGTTCGATTCTATTCCTCTAATCCCAAGCTGGCACTTCTCAATATCCAACCCCGTAAGTGTATTAGGCTTAAAGACTCTCAAACTGACCCTGAACACAATAAAGCGATAGTAGTAAAAATTCTGACTTTTATTGATTTAGTTTGATTTATAGATGAAGATTTCGGGTTGTCACAAATTTGCTCCCGAATCAAACAATATATTGGCAGGAAATCCATTTACAAGAGAGGTACTTGAAGTGACATCTATTGCATCCTTTGAGGCTTCCAGAGTCATCTGGAAAGCTCTCGTTTCGGCCTCAGTGGAACATTAGGCCTTGCCGCCTCCTTCTTTTTCAGGCAGTCCCTCGAAATGTGCCCTTCTTCATTGCACACATAACAGACCTTCTTGTTGAATGTGCACTCATTATCATAGTGCCCAGCCTTTCCATACTTAAAACATGTCACTTCCTCGCCACATTTCCCCAAGTGCTTCTTTTTGCGCTTCTCGTGCCACTTCACTTCACCTCCTTCTCCTCTAAATTTCCTTGAACCAGAGTTCGAGAATGTACTCTTCTTGTTGGACCTTGAAGATCCATCAAACATCCTTTTCTCTCCTACCTCAGCTCTCTCCATACCCTTTTCCCTTAATTGGGTCTCAACATTCTTAGTTGCTCTAACGGTTGCCTTCAAAGTGCTTGCCATTTTGACTATTGGGCCAAAGTATGATGGAAATCCATTAGCAAACTTCTCTATCACGGTGAGTTCAGTAGACACCAAGTAGGGGAATAACTTCATCCTCTCGGTGAATGCAATGGCATAGTCATCAACACTCATTTTCCCTTTCTTCAAGTTCTGAAACTCATTGTTTAGGTTTATCAGATCTACATCTAAGCAGTATTGCATTCTCAACTACTCCATGAAGGCTTCCTAAGACATCCTCAGGGCTTCTCCTCGTGGCATCGTATCTGCCAACAACTTCCACCAACTCAAAATCCCGGTCTTCAGTTGTCTGACTGCAAAGAAGGCCTTCTGTTTGTTGCTACAGTTTCAGCTTTCAAATACCATCTCCATTTCGAAGATCTAATCCATAATCTCCACTGGATTTGAGCTTCCAAAAAGAATTGGTGGTTAGGGACCCAAGAAGTTCTTATATGTACGCCCGTCACTGTCATTCCCTCTATCTTGGTTATTCCTTCCAACCACTGGCGGCTCAGCTTGGCCAACGGTTCTGCTGTAGTTTCCTTCTTCTGACTGACCCTCATTCAGCTCACGCTGTTCAACATGCATAGTAGGTTCTTACCTATTATTCAGCAAAATTTGCCTCATCTCTTCCCTCTGTTTGGCCATCATAACCCGAATCATGGCTTGTACTCTTGCATCAAGATTAGCTCAGGTGCAGCTGCTACTTCCGGTGCACACTCAATCACATGGGGTTGAGGCTGCTGATTCCTATTTCCATTTGTATTCCCGAATCCACTTCGGGTTCTCGCCATGTCGATTTATACACCAGCATAGGCGAATTTAGATCTTTATTTACGATAGATGTTTAAATCTTCCTTGTCACTCCGAACAGATACATGCTAGTTCTAATACCGTAATTATACGTTTAGAATCCTGAACACATAGAGTTTCCAGATATGGTCGGCAACAGACCATAGATCTGATTCACTAATACCATATAAGGCATCTTTATAGCTATAACATAAATCATTTAGAAATTTAGACATCTTTCGTAAAATAAGCTAGTGCTCATGTCTAAAATATAGTAGACACTCATCTCACAATCATCGCCTAGCATTCTAAGTTTAAGTCTAGAAATCCTACAAATTCCTAGTTCGCTTAAACTAATGCTCTGATATCAACTGTGACATCCCCATTTTCACGGCCAGAAGATACCGATTTTGTTTATGTTTTATATAAAAATCAGAGTAACTTTTTAAATAAAGCACTACTAGAAAATAGACCTTTAATGACACGCGATTTATGACACGCATTGATTTATGATACGCAAAAGTGTGTGACCTAAAAATAATGTCAACTCTCCAGAAATTTGAAGGATTTAGGACGCGCATTATTGCGTGCCCTGAAATTAGTGTCACAAAAAAAACCATGGAGGGCGCTTATCATAAAATGTGTGTTATCTAAGAATGTCGTTTTATAATTTTTTAATGAAACGCATGTTTTAATAACCAAGGGGGGGAAATGGAATAATCCCAAAAAATTAAAAACCCTGCCTATTCGATCTCCTCTCTCAGTCTCCCTTCTTCCCTCTACTGATGCCTCCACCTTCTTCCATCGACGCTAATCTTTGAATTAGCAAGAAAGAAGCTCCATGCCTTCGTCTTCACCCACCTCCAGTGTTTCCAACCCTTATTTGTTCATGCAGCACAACTCACGCTTTCTCTGTAAGAAAACCTACAACTACATCCTCCACATGAAGAAAAACCCTAACTGGCGGCCACATAACACGCTTTATCTTCCTCTCTCTTCCATTGATGCGCAAAACCTTCTTCTCATGCGATTTTAGGTAAGTCTCTCCCTCTCTCTCTCTCTAACCTAAAAGTTTCAAAAGGGAAAAATATCCTTCATCTTATCCTCAAACTCATCCGCCTCAGCCAACTGGTTCGTATCCAACCAGATAATCGCATCCTCAATCTTCTTATTATCACTCAAAGTCAACTTATCACCAATCTTCTCATCTTTCACTGTGTTCCTCATGTTGTATGCATAATTCTCCAAAGCATTATTTGCCTCCAACTTCTTTTTGTGCTCCTCATCTTCAGACTCATACTTATCAGCTTCCTGAACAAAGGCTCTAATCCGGGTTTTCCTCTAGTTCAAAAAGTTTTTTCCTTCCTAGAAAGGAATTAATTTCATTAAATGTATGATCTCATGTCACCTGGTTTTAGGTTTCATCCAACAGACGAAGAGCTTGTTAATTTCCACCTAAAGAAGAAAATTTAGCAACGGGTTCTTCCTATCGAACTTATTAAACAAGTGGATATATACAAATATGATCCATGGGATTTACCAAGTAAGCTTTCATGACCACTTGAGTCAAGATTTTTGTTGTTTATATGTGCTTTATAAACTCATATTCCATTGTGTTCAACAGATTTAACGCCCATAGGAGAAAAAGAGTGGTACTTTTACTGTCCAAGGGATCGTAAATACAGGAATAATGTAAGACCAAACCGTGTAAAAGGAGTAGGTTTTTGGAAAGCCACTGGCACTGACAGGCTGATATACTCATCTGATGGCACTAACTGCATTGGTTTAAAAAAAGTATTTGGTATTCTTCAGAGGAAGAGTTGCTAAAGGGATTAAAACAGACTCGATGATGCACAAGTTTCGGTTGCCTTCACTCTCTCCATCTAAATCCTCACCACCTAACAAGATCTTAGATAAAAGTCTTCCACCAAAATTAAGAATCTCACTTTTTCAAAATCTAATTATCTTACGGGTTAGACCGGGTATTTCTTTTTGACTTAATAGAGTTAATGATGATATTATTATTAGACATATATATAGTGGTCATTCCTTTTGACATGGTATAAAAGGATGGGCTTAATGAATTAAATGAGATGAGAACCCTTTAAAGTTTAACCAAACCCTCGTTCTTTTCGTTTTAAAAAAGTTTGGTGTTTATTACTGATCTTGCGAATGTTGTTTAAAGCAAGTAATAAGGCCTTATGCTTCAGCTTGGTCTTTTAGATTCACTAGTTTTAGCTCAATGTAATTAACATCAAGCAGTTTCTCTTTATGTTTTCTACCTGCTGTTTACTAGCAGTTTCTATTGCTTGTGTGCTCAAATCCCTTTCAATGGTCCGGATTTCAAGCTCTCCTGATTGGATGATGATCTCAGACTTTAAGGCAGAATTCTCAAAACTCCCTCAATCAGAACCTTTTGAAGAAAAAGATACAGTGAATCTAATGTTGTCTTTTATGCTAGTAATTATATGGTTACTATTTTTTTGTTATTTTTGAGTAGCTAACTTGAAGGAGAAATATTGACAACAATGAAGAGACTTTAATGGATGGTTGCCTCATTCTTCATTCTTGATCTTAGATATAATCTTGGTGGATTAGTGCAGGTAAACTTGCATAAATCTAATTAATTTTTGTTTGTAAATCATCTGATTGTATTTTTTTTTCTTTCAGAAGGGAATTGAAATTGCTAAACTGTTTTTAAATGAAGCGGAGACTGTAATATATACTGGTGGAAGAGAAAGTCAGAATTTAAAAAGTATAGTAGCTGAAATAGTGCCTCTTATTACAGCTCCTGTCTTTGTAAGTTTTACCTTCTTTAATAACATTATTTATAAATTTGGAGCTATGGGTAACTAATTCCTGATTTATGTTCTTTTATGGCAGGTTTTGGTGAACAAAAATACTGCTAGTGCAAGTGAAATAGTGAGCACTAATATTACCATATTATGTGTTTAATTTTTTTATTAAAGTATTGATAAAAGTCTAATTGGTGATAGTTTGAATAGGTTGCTACTGCACTTCATGACAACTGTAGAGCCATTCTTGTTGGTGAAAAGGCCTATGGAAGGGTCTGTATAAAATTGTTATCAATTTAAAAAAATGAAATGTTATTGTGGGTTCTTTTTATTCATTAATTAATCTAGACAAGTTTCTTGATTATTACTGTAGGGTTTGATTCAGTCTGTATTTGAACTTCATGATGGATCAGTGGTGGTGGTGATTGTTGGGAAATATGTCACACCAAATCATTTGGACATAAATGGAAATGGAATTGATCCTGATTATAAAACGTTACCAGGTATCTATCTATCTATCTTACTAGCCAGACCTTTTTTTAACATTTACTCCTGCAACTTTCTTTCATTTAAGCTGTTTTGTTTTTGCAGCATGGAATGAAGTGGTTGAACGTTTATCCAAGTTCCAAAAGCAACAATCAAAGTGATCAAAGCAATAAAAAAGTGTGTAAAACTCCTGATGCTGCTGTAAATGTGAATGAAAGCAAAGATCCCATGACAGATCCTACTATGTTATGTTGTGCTTTTAAGAAACATAAAATCTATTTGTTCAGGTATTCTTTATTTGGTGTAAAAGTAATATCATATGATTATGGTTACATACTTACATATGTAATATGTTATAATAATAGTCGAAGACTACCAGATGAACCTGATGATGTAACTAAGGGTAGGGATGTCTTTAATGAAAAGCCTCCTCCTAATGAACTTATGGTTGCATCAGATATAGGAAAGTTTGTTACAACATCTCTTCCAGAAAACGTGGTAAGTACTCTACTCTTGGTATTATGGAATGAGGGAAGGGAGTGGACTAATCAATCTTTTTGCTTTTAAAAATATTTATTTGATTTTGATATCCTTGATGGTATTTACCAGATTATGCACACAACACTTGGTGATATATATATATATATATATATATATATATAATATATATATATATATATATATATATATATATATATATATATATATATATATATATATATATATATATATATGATGGGTTTTAAGCATTACAACATTCCTGTGGTGCATATGCAACCCTAATTACTTTGGATCTAGGTTTTTCTCAAGTGATACATGCAAATCAATTTTCCAAAGCAAGAACCCTAAACTAGCATACAATTTTCGGATTCAATGAAAAAACTAGGGCTAGAAGAATATCTTTCTTGTTAACTAGTAGTAACAAGCAATCCTTTCCTTGATCTTGACCTTCAAGAGCTTAGTGCCTCAAGTGTTGCACGTCTAATTGAGTCACAAACACCACAAGCAAAGAACGAGGAGAAGGAGAGGCGAAAAATCGGCTTGGGTTTCTTTTTAGGAACCAGTGGCCGAAATCTGGAGGCTGGGGGGTTCCTTTTATAGTTGAGGCTGCTAGGGTTTACAACTGGAAACCCTAATTTCCTTGCTTAGGCCATAAGCAATCCACAGACCCCCACATGACAGGCCTTGGACGAAAGCTCTATGGGCTCTCCATAGATTTTCGTCCACCCCTTATCAATAGGGTCCATTAGCCCAAACTACAACTATCACTGATTTACATAATCAGTCCCCGTTCTTTTAATCAGTTTCTTTTGATCACTAAATTAATTCCAAATTAATTTCTGATCAATACGAATTATATAATATGATTTATCAATTAATATATTATTCTTATAATATAAACTACAACTATCACTGATTTACATAATCAGTCCCTGTTCTTTTAATCAGTTTCTTTTGATCACTAAATTAATTGCAAATTAATTTCTGATCAATACTAATTAAATAATATGATTTATCAATTAATATATTATTCTTATAATATATTAAGAAATCATCAGTTGACCTCTTTCTCCAAAACTCATCTTGTCCGGTGGCTATGGTGAATGCAACCCAAAAGGACCATGCTACTATTAGGTCAAGTACATAATAATTATATTTATGGACTTTGACACCTAATCCAACAGTCTCCCACTTGGATAAGTCTAATAACTATAACCGCAAGTACGACTTCAATATCAAATTAGCAACCCTAGCTCTCAAAAGCCGTTGTCGAACTCTGACCTAGTCAATGACGCATCCTTTAGATAAGGGATCGTATAATCCTCCGTTCTGCAAGATATCGTGTGGACAAAGACACGGAACATAATCATTCTCAATGTTCAACAGTTTGTTTCCCGACTTCTGATTTGTTTGACATAGAAGTTAATTGAACACATCAATTTAGTCCTGACCGGGCCCGACACATAATTCAACACAAAATCATCTAGGGGCCCAAGATATCACTTTTACCCTCCTAGGATAAAAGGAACAGATAAACTTTGACTTATATGCTTGTACTATTTACTCATCAAATCGTACACAACAACACGTTTTATAACATCAAGTTACTAATGCATTTACGCATTATCAATGCACAACCAACTTGTAAATAACAACTCATATATTTCGGTTTAAAGATTATACGATATTATCGTCTCACAATCACTCGTGATAAATTCCATGAAGTGATTCAAATGAGTGTGGGTTTAATCCAATACTCAAATCTTATTTCATAAGTACTCATGAACGTTGCATCAAACCTTTGCTATGTCTAAGCACTTACACAATCTACAAACCAATTCATGACAGTCTAACCTCATAACTTACTCCAAAGGTATGATTGACTGTGGATAATTCGAACAATCTAATTATTCTGGAAGTAAAACATGCAAAAGTGAAACAATAGTAAACAATTGACACAAGATAGTAAACTTTACTCATAAATAAATCTTCATTACTTAATCACCAAATGTCAATTACATTTATCTATTACAAGTTTCTAAACACCTATCTAATCACTAAAACTAATATCGTCCTTCAGACCAATGCTCCTCGCATGCTGTAAGTGCTTAACCTTGCTCAGACCCTTTGTGAGGGGATCTGATGGATTCTCTTCTGACTATACCCTCTTGACTACGAGGAGTCCCTCTTCTACCCGATGTCTGATGAAGTGGTATTTTTAGTCGGTATGTCTGGATCTACCATGATCCCTTGGTTCCTAGGTTAAGGCAACCGCTCCTTCGTTATCACAGAAAATTTCCATAGGCTCCTTTATGGCTGGTACAACTCCAAGGTCTCCAATGAAGTTCTTCAACCATATTGCCTCCTTCGACGCTTTTCTCGCTGCTATGTACTTTGATTCGCACGTTGAATCAGCCACAGTCTTCTACTTGGAACTTTTCCAAGTAACTACTCCTCCATTTAGCATAAATACCCAGCCCGACTGAGAGCGGAAGTTGTCTCTGTCGGTCTGAAAGTTAGCGTAACTGTGCTCTGTCACTCTTAAGTCATCACTCCCACCAATTGTAAGGACCCAGTCCTTAGTCCTTCGCAGGTACTTAAGAATATTCTTAACTGCTACCCAATGAGCTCTACCCGGGTTCCCTAGATATCGGCTAACCATGCTCAACGCAAAAGCCACATCAGGGCGAGTACATGTTATAGTGTACATGATCGAGCCAACGGCGGAAGCATATGGCACTCGACTCATTTCTACTATCTCGGCATCGGTACTCGGACTCTGAGTCTTACTCAACTTGGTATTGCTTTGGATTGGCAGTTCCCCTTTCTTAGAATTCTCCATGCTAAAACGTTTTAGCACCTTGTCCAATTAAGTACTTTGACCAAGTCCTATTAGTCTCCTACTTCTATTTCTCAAAATCCTTATCCCCAGAATGTAAGCAGCTTCTCCTAGATCTTTCATAGCGAAACACTACCCAAGCCAAGACTTAACCTCCTGC